AGAATAGCTATAGGTGGATGGATGGATGGATGGATGGATGGATGGATAGATGGATGGATGGATTGGTGGATGGAGAATAGCTATAGGTGGATGGATGCATGGATGGATGGATGAGAGAGAGAGAGAGAGATGATAGAGATAGAGGGAGAGGCAGACCGACAGAAAGACAGACAGACAGTGTTCTGACTTAGCTCCCTCTGACATGAACTCAAAAGATTCCTTTATTAGGAATGCTGGAAGCCCCAGTGAAATGTTTCTCTCGCAGGCTAACAAGTCTGGCCAGCCAGAAGATGAATAGTTCTCTGCCACACCTTTATCCCCAGAGGTAGGATGGGGCTTTGCTAGCAACAGTGGCTCTTCTGTCCCAAGAACCGGCTCATAGATTTTCACTGCTTTTCCTTTCCTCTCTTAAACAAATTCTTGTAAGTCAAGAACTACTGCATAGATGTCACATAGCTAAAGTACCTTTCACCCCCTTAGCCTGTGAGTTGGCACATCCCTCTATCAAGAAGTATACGATGATGTATGAAGTCAGAGCAAAATGGTTAAAGTGTTCGAGCCATGGGGTATTTTATTGTCTGGATTGTGTTTATCCATTTTCTTCCCTTCCCTGGTGGTTGTCAACTCATAAAATATTTCTATGGTCTTTTTAGAGTTGCCAACAGAAAGGGAGGGGGAGCAGTGCAGCTGTTTGCAAACCAAAACTGCATTCCATAAATGTTTTCAAAGATAGTAACTAGGTGATTGAAGTTTCTGCCGCGCAAAATTCTAACTGGAGAGCATGATTGATGACTCTGGGCTATGGATGTGTCCCATTGGAGAATATGGATTATGATACACCCAGGCAGTGCCGGCATGTTAACTCCCAAAAAATCCTTTTTAAGTTTTGGAAGTTTGGCTTGAGACTCATGATTTAAATGAGGAGTAACTGCTGGAGCCCTGACAGTAGTGTCATATTGTTAAAAATTTCCTCTCTTTGGAGACAAGTAAATTGTCGGTCAGTAGATAAACCCAGCATAAGATTGGACCGGACTTGGGTTTAACCTATTGGACTTCCAAAACTGT